ATTAGTTTTCTGCGGTTTGTATGATTTGCTACATAAAGAAGGGAGCATGGTGTTATCTGACTTCATTATGTTATACTAAATAACAATAGAATATGCTCAGGGGGAAGTGACTTCCGTAATCGATGTGTACATACATTTAGGTGCCAGTTACATAATAGCTGAGATGCCCTGAATTACAAACCACAACATAAGTACAGGTAATAACCAAAATTCATAACATTTTCTGAAAACGGCAACATTTGAATGTGAGAAACCGGCATGTGGGGCATGTGGGGCACGTGGGGCGTGTGGGGCACAGTGTGGAACACATGGACACGGCATGGGGGATGTGGGGACTGTGGGGCATATGCAGTGCATGGGGCATGGTGTGAGGTACGTGGGGACAACGTGGGCACTGCGTGGGGATGGCGTGGGGAACATGGGGTGCGTGGGCACGGTGTGGGACACATTGGGACAGCCTAGGGCATGTGGGGCATGGGCGCATGGGGCGCGTGGGGTGTGTGGGGCATGTGGGGCACAGTGTGGAACACGTGGACACAGCATGGGGTGCATGGGGCGTGTGGGGTGCGTGGGGCATGTGGGGCACAGTGTGGAACACGTGGACACAGCATGGGGTGCATGGGGCGTGTGGGGTGCGTGGGGCATGTGGGGCACAGTGTGGAACACGTGGACACGGCATGGGGTGCATGGGGCGTGTGGGGCATGTGTGGTGCGTGGGGCACATGGGGCGGCCCACCTTGAAGAGCGTGACGGTGGCGCTGTAGCACACGCTGAGCAGGAAGAGGGTGATGAAGATGGAGATGGTGGTCCACAGCCCGTCCAGCTCCCCATCCTGGGCCTCGGCACAGCTCTCGTCCAGGAGCACCTCTGCACAGGGAGGGGGCGGTCAGTGTGGGGCCGCGGGGGCTGGCGGCCTTGGGGCTGGCACAGGGGCTCTCTGTGGACCGGGGGGGGGGAGCTGGCCAGGTGGGGCCCATGGTGCCCGGCTCCCCCATCCTCTGCCTCAAGCCCCGGTCTTAGCCTGGCTGGGCTGCTCCCTCCTCTCTGCCACCTGCATGGGGCCCTGGGGGACAAGGTGGGCTGACCCTCAATCCAGCTGCTCTCTCGTCCACCAGCCCCTCTGCCTGCTCCCCCTGGGGTCAAGGGCAGGAGGGCCCTGCCTGGGAAGGGCCAGCACCAGGTCTGAGTTGGGAGTGCAGGAAAGTGGGTGGGCCCGAGGCCGGCCTGGGTGCCTGGGGAGGACTTCTGTGTGTTGGGGAGGGTGTGGGTGCCTGGGAAGGGGGGAAGGGTGTCTGAGCTGGTCAGTGTGGGGATGAGCTGCTGAGTGACCCCTGGGGCATTGGGTGGGGGCAGGCTGGTTTCCATGGTGGGGGTTCCCAGGACCCGCTCTGTTCTCTGGTCTGGGCCTGTGCAGGGTGCCTTGTGTGAGGCCTGCAGTGTAAGGCCTGTCTCTGTGTGCATACATGTGTACACACATGCGGCCATGCCTGTGTGTTCATGTGTGTATGTCTGAGTGTTCATGTACGTGCACATGTGTGTGTGTGAAAGTGGCCATGTGAGCTGGTGCTGATCTGTGAAGTGCCTTGTTTTCCATGGTCGGGCTCAGTGTCCCTGTGGCCTCTGACAGTCTTTCCCCGGGGCCCAAGGGCTGCCCGCCTCTGCCTCTGTGGGGCAATCGGGTGTGTGTCCTCCTGAGCGGACAGGCCTGGCCCCAGGCGGGACATGGCCCACAGAGCCCCCTCGCCCGAGGGAGGGTGGGAGGCTTGGTCTCGAGGGCACGGAGGGCCTGTCCCTCACCACGGGCCAGTGTGCTCCTGTGCGGGCACAGAGCCACATCCAGGAGCCCTGGAGACCAGTGGGCAAGGCACCCGGAGACCAGGCACTGCCCACAGCGGGGCTTGCTCAGAGGCGGGGACCCCCCTGGGCCCTCCTGTCCCTGAGTGGCATCTCCTGCCCCCTGTCCACATCTCCTGACCGAGTCCTTGCCAGCCATGCAGAAGCCATCCTGCCCTGGCACCTGCAGACCCACAGGCTCTGGGTCCTGCCCTAGCGGTGCCGACCAGCCTCCGAGCCGGCCTGACCTCCACCCCGGAAAGAACCACGACAGTGTCGCAGGGTCCCAGGGCCGTGCTGGGTGCTTTATTGAATGCTGGGTGCCCGAGGGTATGTACATGGGAGGTCGCCGGGCGCCGGGCGCGCTGCTCATTTACCCGGGTTCCGGGAGATGGTCTTCTGGGCGTAGTGGTTGTGCAGGGCCTCGTGCATCACCTCGCACGTGAAGGGGTCCCCCCGCTGCCACCGGGCCTTGTCCACGGTGAGCTTGCTGTACAGGAAGAAGGAGCCCTCCTGGTCCTTCTGGGGCGGGGTCGAGGAGTACTTGGTCTCGGGCTCCGGCCGCCCGTTGCTCTGCCACTCCACGCTGATGTCCGGCGGGAAGAAGTCTTTGACCAGGCAGGTCACGCTGACCTTGTCCCTGGCCAGTTCATCCGAGGGTGGGCCCAGGATGTACACTTGTGGCACCTGGACTTGCCCTGTGGGATGAGGTCAGCACAGACGGTCACTCCCAGGTGGAGGGCTGGCCCCCCGCCCCGGCCCCGGGCCCACCTGTCTGCTTCCCACCTATGGCCTTGGAGATGGTCCTCTCGATGGGGGACGGGATGGCCTTGTTGTTGACCTTGCACTTGAACACCTTGCCCTTCAGCCAGTCCTGGTGCGCGATGGCGAAGGAGTTGACCACGCGGTAGGTGCTGTTGAACTGCTGCTGCTCTGCCTTCACCGTCTTCTTGTTCATCTGGTTGCCATCCACGTACCAGGTGAACTCGACTTCCAGGTCTTCCGGGGCCACGTCCACCACCATGCACGTGACCTCAGGCGTCCGGGCGATCATGAGGGTGTCCTTGGGTTTCGGGGGGAAGATGAAGACCGAGGGCCCTCCCGGGTTCTCACAAGCTGGGGGGAGACAGTGGCCAGGAGTCAGCCCTGGGCAGGCCTTCCCTGGGCAGGCGCTCCCCGTGGGCCTCCTCCTGGGGGGGATACTCACCTGGGCACGTGTGAGGCGGGCAAGAGGTGGGGGGAGGTCTGGGACTGAAGGGCACTGCAGAGAGAGCAGGCTGAGGGTTACCGGGGCCCCACAGGGCACGGCCCTTGGCAGGCGCTTAGGTCAGGGCCAGTTTGTCAGGTCTGAGGCCAGCACCCGCCTCTGTGGCTCCAAGCCTGTGCCCCCCCTGGGCCTGGTGGTGATAACAAGAGGA